TCAAACAATCTTGTTATCTGCTGCTTCTGATTTCTGATTTCTGATTTTAACAGACTTGTGAAAAAAAGAAGTATTAGAGTCCCCTTCTTGTATATGCTGAATAGATTTATGTTTGAAAAATAGTTCCTCAGCCTTTCTCAACTCCTGACAAGCCAAATTTGCTTTCTGTTCTTCCTCAACAAGGTGTGGAGTATGATCTTGCAAAACAGCACAGTGAGCAATTTCAAGAGCAACTTCAGCCTCACGAACTAGACCAGATATTTCTGAATAGACCTCTCGATTGAGCTTCTTTAAACCAGATTTTACCTGACCCAGCTTACTATAGAAGACAAAGTGTGGATATACACTAAAAGACTTCTTCCATGCCTCTTGAATAATAGATAAATACTAAGGATGCGCTTGCCAGAACATAAAGTACTGAAACGACTTAGGCAGGGAACGTAATTGAGGAGTAGTATGCAACAACAGACCACAATGATCTGAAATACCAGGGGGGGATTGTGCTCGCTCAACTAACAGGAAACTATCAAGCCAGGCTTCATTCATTAAAATTCTGTCAATCCTGCGTGCAATCGGATTACCTTTCTGCTTGTTCTACCACACGTAAACCATGATCCTGCAATCTTGTGGTCCACAGCCTCCATATCCTTCAACCATTCCTGGAAATCCAGCATACTAGTAGTAATTTGCTCCACATTAGAGGCTTCATTTACTTCACTGATGGCATTAAAATCTCCCATTATAATCATAGGAATAGAATCCTCTTTAAGCTTAACCAGTTCTTTATACAGAATCTTCCTCTCCACTTCCTTAATAGGACTGTAAACAAACAGCACAATGAAAGGAGACTGCTCACCAACCAAGATCTTCAAATAGTGCTCACCTTCCTCCATGCGTGTGACTTTCAATCCAGATTTCCAAAAAATCCAAACTCTCCCAGACTTAGATTTAGTATAGTTATCCAAATGCTTCCAATCCGAAAAAATGCCCTCTATTATTTTTTTGCTATTTTCTACTAATACTCGAGTTTCCAACAAACCAACTATATCTACTTTAAACTTCCTTAACTGTTTAACACAGCTAAGTGCTTATCATGAGCATTAAAGCCCCTGACATTCCAGCTCAAAATGTTCATTTACCTCGCTTGTTCCCCCTACCACAACCTCTTGGGGGAGGAGCTTCGACCTTACTGCTTGAACGGCTTTGCTGCAACCGAGGAAATGATTTATCATCCAACAAAGACCGCCTAAAACCCTGATTCACACCTGATGACCCAGCTTTAGTTTTCTGTCGACGATTGACCACCAATGTAAACCCGTCCTCATCAATTAACTCAGCTTCTGGTGGAGGAGTAACTTCCACCTGCCTCACCACGCCAATTGTCTCCACCTAACCTTCAGCTAGGTCCTCGAGGAGTAGCACAGTCATGCCCAAAACATCCACACTTCATACAGACCTGAGGCAAATTACAATACTCCTCATCCACAAAGATTACAGGCAACCCATCTGGGGTAATACTAAGCTTCGAAACCCGTTTATTTAAGGCCTAAACCTCAACACAGATGTGAACAAACCCCACCTTCCTTCCAGTTCTTGTTGAATTATCCATACACAGTGGCTTTCCCAGAGAGCTCGCAACCCTACCCATGCCAACCTTAGAAGTAAGCTAAGATGGAAGGTTAGACAATCGAACCCAGATAGGCAGCACCGTGTTATCAATGGCTAGAGGGCTAATTCCTGGTTCCCAGCAACGCAAAAAAACAAGATTCTCGCGATGGTGCCAAGGACCATTCTCAAACACCCACTGGAAAATCTCAGCGTTCGGAAATTGAAACAAAAGCATCTTCTTTCCCATCCACGAGACCCTAATTTCACCATCCTTCTCCCAAATCCAGTTCGCCCAATAACGAATTGAATAGAGTGAAGCTGGCCTACTAATGAACTGGCCTACAAGGTTGTGCTCCCACCTCTTAGCACCTTCTTCAATCACCTCCCGAGGGATCCTCAACGAGCCATTCACATACTCAAGCTCATAGTACTCCAAGCGATTATCCTCCGGCACCCCAAATAGTGAAACCCACGAACGACCGTCAATGACAGCAGCCGCACCATCGGTGATAGCCGCCATCGATATCGCGAAGGGTTTTTCCTTCAGAGAAAAGAAAGAGATAGGGAAAGAGAGAGGGAAGGTTGAAATCATACTTAAGTCAACTGTTATTGTTAGAATATTATTTGAATTTAATTGGGTTTGTTTTGGTGTTTTGGGCCTGTTTGGTTTGGGTTTGTGTTTTGACTTTGTTTTGACCTTTTCCTTCTATGTTTGGGAAAAGGTGTTTGGTTTTCTGTTTGGGAGGAGAAGAGTTCTATAAATACTCTTCACCACCCTAATCTGTAGTAAGGTCAGTCAGGTTAGTTTGTTTGGTTTGTCCGTTTGGAATTTGGTTTGTAACTTGTACTCTCCTCAAATTAGTGAAAGTTGTCCCCCTACCCGTGGATTAGCTAGCACACATTGTGTTAGTGAACCACGTTAAATTTGTGTTCATTCGTGTTAGTGTGGATTATCGATTGCACGCTTCTGTTCTGACAAGTGGTATCAGAGCCTTTGGTTGCGGTTTTGGGAATTTGGCGCTGGACTGAAGTTTTGCTTTGTGGAGTTTGGTTGGAGTTTGTTTGATAGTAAGAATGGCTGCTATCAGTATGAAGATTGAGAAGTTTACCGGAAGAAACAGTTTTAGTTTGTGGCAAATCAAGATGCAAGCACTGTTGAAACAACAGGGTTTGTGGGCTCGATTGTCTGGAAAATTGAAGAAGGAAAGTATAGATGAAGAAGAGTGGATTACTTTGGAGGAGAAAGCTCACTCTACAATCTTGGTGTGTTTGGCTGATGACATCATCACTGAGGTTGCTGCTGAGAAGACTGCTTTGGGCTTGTGGTAAAGCTTGAAAGTCTATACATGACAAAGTCTTTAACTAACAAGTTGCATATGAAACAACGTTTGTTCAGTTTGCGTATGGAGGAAGGTACGTCTCTCAGGAATCATCTAGATCAACTCAATACCATCTTGTTAGATCTGCGGAATATTGATGTTAAAGTAGATGATGAGGATGCTGCCTTAATTCTGTTAGTATCTTTGCCACAATCATATGAGAATTTTTTGGATTCTTTTATTGTTGGGAAAGATAGTTTGTCTTTGAAAGATGTCAGATCTGCTCTACATACTAGAGAGATTCGACATAAGGCGTCTGGTTCAGGTTCGGAAAATCAGGCATCTAGGTTGGCTGCTACGAGTACTAGGAGACAACAATCTGGTAATAAGAAGGAGAATACAAATTCGAATTCTGCTGGTTTGAAGGATGATATCTGTCATTACTGCAAGGAGAAAGGACGTTGGAAATCTGATTGTCCTAAGCTAAAGAAATATAAGAAGAAGAAGGAATCATTCGCTGCTGTGGTGGAAGAAACTAACTATGATTCTGAAGATGGTTTAGCCTTAGCAGTGAATGAACATGTACATCATCAGGATGTGTGGGATTTAGATACTGCAGCTGATTATCATATGTGTCCAAGCAGGGTGTGTTTTTCAACTTATGAGCAGATAGATGGAGGACATGTTTCTATGGCCAATGGTGATATCTGTAAGATTGTTGGAAGAGGCTCCGTCAGAATGAGGACACTTGATGGTTCTGTTCGCACCTTGACCAATGTTAGGAATATTCCAGAGATGACTAAGAATCAGATATCTTTGAGTCTACTCGACAACAAGGGTTTCAGTTTCAAAGGTGAAGGTGGAGTGTTGTCTGTCTTCAAGGGTTCTAAGGTGACTTTGAAAGGTGCCAATCGGGGTGCCTTGTATAGTCTACAAGTTTCTGTTTTGACATGTTCTGTTGGTGATAAGTGCAGCAAGTTGGTTTTGAATGGCAAGTCTCAATATGGATTGGACTTGCCGAATGGTTTGAGTTGTTGACCTCCCTTAGGGGTATTTGGAGGCAGGGGAGATTCTGGTACAGCTGATTTGGAGGAGTTAGTAAGTCTGGCAATTTTTATTGCATCTGAGTTTGGCGATTTTGCATCGCGTTTGAGTTTGGCGGTTTCGATCGCATTTTGATACGTCTGGCGATATGTATCGCGATTGGGTACATTTGGCAACTTTGGTTGCGTCTGCTACATCTGGCAACTTTTGTTGCGTCTGGTACATCTGGTATTTAAGAGAGAATTCAAGTTAAGGTGGAGATTGTTAGAATATGACTTGAATTTAATTGGGTTTGTTTTGGTGTTTTGGGCCTGTTTGGTTTGGGTTTGTGTTTGGACTTTGTTTTGACCTTTTCCTTCTATGTTTGGGAAAAGGTGTTTGGTTTTCTGTTTGGGATTAGGAGAAGAGTTCTATAAATACTCTTCACCACCCTCATTTGTAGTAAGGTCATTCAGGTTAGTTTGTTTGGTTTGTCTATTTGGGATTTGGTTTGTAACCTGTACTCTCCTCAAATTAGTGAAAGTTGTCCCCCTACCCGTGGATTTGCTAGCACACATTGTGTTAGTGAACCACGTTAAATTTGTGTTCGTTCATGTTAGTCTGGATTATCTACTGCACGCTTCTGTTCTGACAGTTATTTTATAAGTTTAAGAAAATTCATTATCTGCTCACATGTGCTATGGATTTAAGCCACTTGACCATGTGTCTGTATTTCCTTCCCTTATAAAATATAACAAACAATGTTTATTGTTTAAGTATAAGCCAAAGCTTCTACAATAATGATTATTACTAAGGACTAATACCACTACAACATCCGAACTATCCCGAAAATGCCACTTGTGTCCTATTGTTTCCAATATTCCATCTGTGTCCTGAACTATTATTCCGTTAGCGTTGACCGGAGTTGACCTTTAGTATTTAACAGAAAATCCAGTCAGCATTGGCATGGCATCTGACGTGGAATTTTCATTATAAATTTTTATTTATTTTTCCATCTAAAATAATAAAAACAAGGAAAACAAAATGAAAAATCCCAAAATCTTTTTAATCCCTTCGCCAGTCCAGCTCCTCTACCTCACCGCTGCACTTTTCCCAAATCTTTTTAATTTCCCCCAAATCAGAACCCTTCCTCTTCCTCCTCCTTCATATACAGAAGAAATCCCCCTCCCAAATCCGAAACCCAAAAGCAAGATGAGGCCGCTAGACGAGGCGGAGACGACGGTCGTCTTCGAGAAGCTCCTGAAGTTCACTGGCAACAACCTGTAGAACATCGTCGAGAGCCCCGCCCACGAGGGTCCAGACGCGAACCCCGGCCTCTACTGCTTCCGCCTCCAGAAGAACCGGGTCTACTACGTCAGTGAGGCCCTGGTGAAGCGCACCACCAACATCAGCCGGAAGAACCTCGTCGCGATGGGCACTTGTGTCGCCCGGTTCACCCACGGCGGCAAGTTCCACCTCACCGTCCAGTGCCTGGGCCTGCTGTTGGCGAACGCCAAGCACAAGGTGTGGCTGAAGTGACAGTTGCCGGAATCTGGGTTTGCTGTCCTTCCCCATTTTTTTAATTTCAAGATCTGATGATGGAGTCTTTTGACCAAGAGTGATTAGATGGCGAAGAAGAAGAACAATATGTTTGCAGGTTCGTCGCTTGGTGGAGGGAGACTCGATCCTCCTACCACTCTCGCTAGATCTGTTTTTTTTAGACTTTCTTTGCTGGCCGCTGTTGTTCATGCCTGATGAAGAAAGGGATGATTCTTTTTTGACAGAGGAAGAAGAAGAAAGGGAAAGTGCAAAGTCAAAATTTTCATTAATGTTGAGTTTACATATTTTTGTGTTTTTAATATTATTTTTTATTTAATTTTAAATATAAAATATGAGGTGTCAATGACGTGGCATCTATATGGTTGCCACATTTTTTGCCACGTCAGCAAAAGTCAACTTTGCGTTGACCATCGTTTGGTCAACCGTTATCTTTAACGGTCAACGAAATTGACAGGATACAAATGACACAACGTATTATAGTTGAGGACATAAATGGAATATTGAAAAGAATAGGATATAAGTGACATTTTTGTCATAGTTCGGGTGTTGTAGTGGTATTAGCCCTATTACTAACTAAGAAAACCCCGATTTGTAGCATAAAAGAAAACCCCCCGATTTGTAGTGGAGATCAAGTGAACGGCTCATGACTTCTTCTTTCGAGTGTTGAAATTGTATAACTTCACAACAAAAAATGATTTTAACGGTTGGAATAGACAAATATTACCTTACAAATTCAAGACTTGGAAAGATAGAAAGATATTTCTGTAGTTGAAAGTTGTGTTTTGAAATTGCATAAGATTTTGTGAAACCATATATATTTGTTTGGGGCACGATGCCCTGCTGGAACTCTCGCAAATCCCCTTTCGATCGGCGCCTGCCAGCACACACGAACACGGAGGGGGCGCCTGGGCCCGTTAATTCTCCGACGCTCAAGTTAGTTTCTTAGAGAGGGAAATGTCCCAAAGCAAGAGTTTTAGTGAGAGGATCCAACCTGTGTAAATGCTACCAACTGCCCCTATTTATACTCACCAAGTTCGAGGCTGATCTCCTCCACGTCACTGCCTCAATTTAATGCCTTGTACCTCCTTTGTCAGCCATCCCAACCATCTTTTGTCGTACTGTTCACTTTGGGACTGACTTACTTGGCTTCCCTGCCTTTGGGGGCGCCCTCTGTTTTGTGTGCCTTCTCCTCGTGATTTGTGGGAGCCCTTCCGCGAGGGGCGCCCCTATCACTTATACCCCCTCACGGGTGGGGGTTTGATATGGACCCCACGTTTTGCTTGCTTGAATTTTGGAAATTTTAAATTTCGGATTTCGAATTTAGACAATTCGAAATGTGAAATTTAAATTTGAGAAATTTCAAAAAGGAAAAGGTGGGGGGAGCTCAAAAGCCCGCACGTGACATCGACACGTGGCGCGCAACGCAAGCCTTGACTTGGGTTCTCCTTTCCTTTAAATACCCCTTCCCCCTTCAGTCCTTGTTTCTTTCTACAAACTGACTTCTCTCTAAAATTTCGCTCTGACTTCTCTCTAGATCCCTCTTTGCAATCGTCATCACTCCCTTCGAGGCAGCCAAGAATGTCGTCGCAAGCAGACAAAGCTTCCAGCCTAGGCACCCAAGGCGCGGGTGAGACTAGAGCGGGCGCCTTGGGCGCAGGTGGTGATGCAAGGCGTCCGACTCAGAGTGGTAAGGAATCTGCTCGACTTGTTGGTTATTTGTGTTAAATTTATTCTAGCTACCTAGGGTAGGGCGTCACTTACTCCGCGTCAACGTTGCGCCTGGGTCATTTGTTGGTTTAGAGAGGGCGCCTGCTTCTACGCCTGCCGGTCCATCAAGTGCCTCGACTCCCGGTTTTATACCTGCGGATGGATCGTACAAGATTACGACATGGGAGAACTCGTTTCCCCCTGACCATCTTCCAGAGGAGACGTCCACGCTGCCCTTCGACGTGGCAGGACCGCAGCACACGTCGACTGTTACCTTGGCCCGCGTTCATGAACTGGTGACCAGCCTCCAACTACCGCGCGACTGGTGGTATGCGCCTCCCTCTGCGATCTCACGAGTGGGCGTCTGTGGGCCGAAGTGGATTGGGGTGTATCAGGAGTACTTCCGCTTCGGGCTGCGATTTCCTCTCGACCATATCATGGAAGGGATCCTGACAACTTGCGGTTGCCCGCTGGGGCGCCTATCTCCCTCGGTCATTGTGATCGTGATCTTGTTCAAGTTGAGATGTCGTGAACACAGCGTGGAGCCCACCTTCAACTTGTTCCGGTATTTCTTTAAGATGGCGCCCCTGGACAACTGTTTGTTACTTCAAAAGAGGAAGAAGCGCCCATATCACTTTGTGGAGCGGTGTCCGAAGTTGGGGCGCAGCTGGTTCAATGGGTTCTTCTTCATGAAGGCGTACCGGGACTCCTTCTTTGAAAGTGGAGGCGCCTTTCTGAGGTAGTGGGGGTTGGGGCACATTGAAGAGTTTAACGCGCCGGTCGTGCTGTCTCAAGCGGAAAAAGACGGCGCCCGCTTTTGGGAGTAGAGCGTGGACCTGCGCATAACTGAGAACCGCCCCCCAATTCTAGAGGCGTATTATAATGATGGTTTGTAGGCGCCAAGATGTTATACGTGTAACCATGTTGTGACTTGTGCAAATTTTTAATTTTTGCCTTGTGCTAATTATTTCGCAATGTGCAGGGTCGGACTTCAGCAGCACTGCCAAGCTGATGAAGAGTCAGCTTGCAGCCATGACGGGAGGGGCGCCCACATCGATTCGTCTAAAGGCGCCGGTTCCGGCCGCCACCCAGTCGCAAGCACCCGTGTCGGCCGCCGCCCAATCACAGGCGCCTCCTCCTGGCCCGAAGAAGAAGAAGAGGGCGGTGAAGGAGGGCACAATGCATACGATCACCGCCAGTGTGGCGTCTTTCGCCCTGGAGGCAGCGCCTGATTCTGAACCCGCGGAGCAAGAGGGCAACTCCGGGGAAGAAGAGGATGAGCCCCTGATTCGTCGGGGGAAGAGAGCTGGTTCCCCCTTAGCCCCTGTCAGCAAAAAGGCTGACAGAGGGAAGGAGAAAGCAGGCGCCGCCGCCTCGGGCGGTGAGGGGGGCGCCCAGTACCACCTCAACGAAGAGGGGCGCTACGTGGGCCCCGATGGGCGCCCTCCTATCTTCTAGCCGCGCCGTTCAGATGTTGGGCGCATCGACCTACCTTGCTCCCCGCTGTCGGCAGTCGACCGAGGCTGCGCCATGGGGTTGGGGATTACGGCCGCCAAGATGTGGCAAGTGCCGTCGGAGCTGAATGGGGATCATCTCTTCGCCAAACTGGCCCAAGTGGGCGCCAAGGTATACTCTTTTACTTGTTCTCTCGCATTTGTGAAATTGTCTTTTACAAAAAAAACTAATCCTTCTTACTTGGTGTATGCAGATCCTTCTTTTTGCTGAGAGAGGCCCCCGACGCCTTTCTGAATCCAAGCGAGAGGCGCTCGAAGCCTCCACCTCTGCCTCCTCCCTGAAGCACGACCTGGAAACCGCGGACGAGCGCCGCGAGCAGTTGGTGAAGGAGTGCGAGGAAGCACAGATGAACGCGGCCATGGAGGTGTCGCAACTTCAGGGCGCTCTTGATGACGAGCGCAACAAGGCGGCGACCCTTCAGGCGGAGAAGGAGGCGCTGGCGCAGGAGGCAGGCGTCCAAGCGAGCGAGATAAACATCCTCAAGGAGGAGAAGAAGAGGTGGCAAGACGCTTACAAGGAGAGTAAGAAATCCTTGAAAGAGGCGCGGAAAGAAATTTCAAACTTGCGCCATTCTTTGGACACCTTCGAGGAGTCCGAGGCTGGAAAAAATATGTGTGCCAACGCCTGCTTGACCAGCCTCGAAATTTTGAAGGTTAAGTTGGAGAAGGATCACCCCGACCTTACTTGGGACTTCACTGAGATGGCCGAGTATGTGATCGGGGAGTTGGATACCCTCCGTGAAGCGGGAAGGCCGCCCGAGCCTCCTACTGCCGATACGCCTCCCAGCGATTCTGCTCCTGCGTCGCCTTTCCCGAAGGCGCCTAGTGCTGGAGATGCCAACTCAGGAGCTGAGTAAAGAATGGGCGTTAACTAAGTAGGATCCTGTTGTATTTTTTTAATGAATATTTATAAAGACGTTTCCGTTGATGATTTAATCGTATCTTGGGGTGCATGGTTTTACTTAACTTTGATTGCTTTTTAGGGCGCATAAAATGAGGGCGCTTTGTAGCCATTGGGCGCAAAGTTGGGCGCGATTTCTGTTTTATCTTTGATTACCGCATTCCGAGGGCGCAAATTTGGACGTGTTATTGCTCTGACTTAGGGCGCAATATTGGGGCGCTTTGCGATTGAAGGTTGCGAAACGGGGCGCTTTACTGACTTCCCTTAACTCTTTATACTTAAACACACAATCGGGCGCAAAGTTGGGCGCTTTTACTAACACGAAATTACTGGGCGCAAAGTTGGGCGCTTTTACTTAATGCGAAATGGCGAAAGCAAACATGAAGTCACTATTGGGGCGCTAGAACACTGGGCGCTTTGGACACGATACGACGCTATTTCGACGAGCGCTTTAGTCACAACACAAACGCGCTTACACACTTGTTTTCGACATAGACAAACACTTACAACTACAACCGCCTTTTACCCTTTCTGGTTCTCGTTAGGTGGAGGCGCCTCCCCCTGGTGCGGCGCCCTCTCGGTAAATTCGCAGGTTTTGTGCATTCCATGTTCTTTTCACCACTCTGCCGTCAGTATGCTCTAGTTTGAACGTACTGGGTCCTACCACCTCTCGAACTCGATATGGGCCTTTCCACTTTGATGCTAATTTCCCCTCGCGGGCATCCGGACGAAAATCACGCTTAAGAACCAGGGCGCCTTCAATGATCCCATGGGCACGCATCTTCTTGTTGTAGTATCGGGCCACTTGTCGCTTCATTTTTTCCAAGCGGATTGCCGCCACTTCCCTTACCTCGTCTGCCATGTCCAATTCGTTGGTTCGTGCCTCGTCATTGCCATTTGGGTCGTACTGGACAACGCGGTAACTTGGGATGTTGACCTCCACTGGAATGACTGCCTTGCTTCCGTAAGTCAAGGCGAAGGGTGTTTCTTCGGTGGCGGTTTTGTAAGTTGTGCGATGCGCCCACAACACATTTGGCAGTTCCTCAACCCATTTGCCCTTGGCGCCCGCCAACCGCGTGTGCAACCCGTGAAGGATACTTTTGTTGGCCGCCTCCGCTTGATCGTTTGCTTGTGGGTAAGCCACCGAATAAAACCTCAACACGACACCATTGTCATCACAGAACTCCACAAACTTCTTGCAGTCGAACTGCTTTCCATGGTCTGTGACAATGGACTCGGGCAAGCCAAACCAAGTGAATATATTCTTCTTGGTGAACTTTCGTACCTGGGTTTCTGTGACCGTGGCTAAAGGTTCTGCCTCTATCCATTTGGAGAAGTAATCAACCCCCACTATCAGGTATTTCATTTGTCCGGGCGCCTTGGAAAAAGGGCCCAAGAGATCCATGCCCCATTGGGCGAATGGCCAGGCTCCTACGTTGCCTTGCATGGGTGCCGCCGGGATGTGAATGTCATTTGCATGAACTTGGCACTGGTGGCAGGCGCCCATATGTGCCTTGCATCCCGTCTCATTGTTGGCCAGTAAAATCCCTGTTGGAGCAGTGTCTTTTCCAAGCTTCGTGCTCCTGCGTGTATGCCGCACGTTCCGCTATGCACCTTCTCGATTGCCCCCCTTCTTTCCTCCTCGTCCAAACATCTCAAGTCTGCTCACGCATGAGACCTTTTGTACAACTTTCCCTCGATTATGGAACATCGGGCCGCTTTTCGGCGGAGGCGCCAGGCTTCCTTCGGGTCATCAGGCACCACGCCTTGGGTCAGGAACAATACAATTGGCGCCATCCATCCGGAGTCGGCGCCCACACTTCTTAGGGTACCGACCAGGTGTTCATGAGGCACCTCTACGATGACTATGACCTTCCGTTCTTCCGCGAAATCCACAGCAGTGGCTAGCTTGGATAAAGTGTCGGCATGGGCATTCTCTTCACGTGGGATGTGAACAAAAGAGATTTCCCCAAACCAGGCTCCCAGCTCTCGAACTCTTCGCACGTATCCTTTCAGCGCCTCCTCTTTCACCTCAAAGACTCCGTTAAGTTGATTAACGACAAGGGCCGAGTCGGTCCTGACCTAGACCTTGTTGGCGCCCAGATCCTTGACCATACTCATGCCGGCGATAACCGCTTCATACTCCGCGGCATTGTTTGTTTTCAGGGTTGCAAATCGCAATGCGACTTCGTGCATCGCGCCTCAAGAGCTTATCATTACGATACCTGCCCCAGAGCCGGTGCGGCTGGCCGCCCCATCGACCTGAACCTGCCAACAGTCATCCGCCCCCCTTTTTGACTCAGCTACTCCCTCTGCGACGAAGTCAGCCAAGACCTGGGCCTTTATCGCCGGTCGGGGCGCATACCGAATGTCGAACTCACTTAGCTGAACTACCCATTTGACGAGCGTCCGGCCACATCCATTGACCCCAATGTGGACTTCGACGGTAGGTTGGTGAGTACTACGATGGTGTGCGCCTGGAAGTAGGGTCTCAGCTTGGTTGCTAACCTTCCTACTAAGCCTTGCACCTCTTTGGGCGTCTTCGGAGGTGTCAGCCTGAGAATGGAATCCACCTGCTTTGGGTTGGCCTCGATGCCTCGTTTGGTGATCGTGAATCCCAGGAATTTCCCTGCCTCGGTGCCGAACACACATTTGAAGGGGTTGAGGCGAAGCCTATGCGCCCGCATGGCCTGGAACGTCTCCCGCAAGTCTTCCTGGTGGTCTTCACGCCTCCGACTTTTGACTATCAAGTCGTCCACGTAGGCTTCCACATTTCGGCCAATTTGTTGACGGAAGATGCTGTTGACCATTCTTTGATAGGTGGCGCCCGCATTCTTGAGCCCGAATGCCATGACCCGGTAGCAAAAGTTTCCGAAGCGCGTCATGAAGGCTGTTTTAGGTCGGTCTTCTTCTGCCATGGGGATTTGATGGTATCCGGAGAACATGTCTACGAAGCTTAGCGTCTCATGATATGCCGTGGAATCGACCAACTGGTCTATTCGGGACATCGGGTAGGCGTCTGTTGGACATGCTCTGTTGAGGCTAGTATAATCCACGCACATTCTCCAATCCCCCGACGGTTTAGGCACGAAGACCACATTCGATAACCAAGTAGCATAAGAGGTTTCTTCAACCAAGTTGGCGCGCACGAGCTTATCCACCTCGACCCTAAGCGCCACCTCTTTCTCCGATAATAGGTTCATGCGCTTTTGTTGCACGGGGCGCCTACCTTTCTCGACCGCCAACCTATGAACGGTCGTTTCGGGTGTGACGCCTGACATTTCTAAAGCACTCCACGCGAAAAGCTCCGCGAACTCCCTCTGGAGGGCTATGAGGCGCTCCTTCATTTCGTCGGGCGCCTCTGCAGATATCTTCACCTGCATTTCCGGGCGCCCTTCGTCTAGCGCCACCAAAAGCTCTTCGTCGGCAGCCTCGGCTCGAGGTGCCTCTTCTGCTACGGTTTCCATCACATTGACTCTCTCATCGGTACATTTTCGCTTCCGCCCTGCTTCCTTTGCATAACGCGGGGCGCCTTGTCCCTGGGCTACGCCTACTCCTTGCGGAGCAATGAATTTTAAGGTTTGATGACAAGTGGAGGCCACCCCATTGAATAAGGCCAGGAGGGGTCTTCCCAGGATCGCATTGTATGGCGATGGACAGTCCACTATTCCGAAGTCGATGGCGCGCGTCACCCTTTGCTCCCCGTCCCCCAAGGTGACCGGCAGGCGCACTCGCCCTATTACTCTGGCGGGCGCCCCCGAAAAACCGACTAGCACCGACTCTGATGGTCTGATCAGCTCCGGCGATAGTTGCATGCGAACTACCGTATCCTTGAATAGTACGTCCATCGAACTCCCCGTGTCCACAAACATCCTTCTCACCTTGCATCCCGCTACCACTCCTTGTATCTCCAAGGCGTCCATGGACGGGAGCATGCACGCTTCTTCTGGCGCCCTATTGAAGCTGATATCAATCGCCTCCTGCACGTCCGCCGATGCCGCTCTCAACCGGCGGTTTGCCTCTATTTTTTTCCCTCAAGTCCATTGTCCCGGAAATGGCTTCGATGGTTAGACGTATGCGATCGGGCGCCTTTTCTTGGTCGAGGTCATGGGGCGGGGTGGCAGCTCCTCCTTCACTTTCTCAACGCCGGCCACGCACGCGCGGTGCACTCTCTCTTCAGGCTTCTTGAAGAAGTCGTTAAGCATTCCTCTGTCGGCCAGGCCCTGCAGCTCGGTCTACAACTGATAACAGTCGGCTGTATGGTGCCCCACTTCTTGGTGGAAGTCACAATATCGGTCTAGGTTCCGTTCATTGAGCTGTCCCCTCATGGGGCCCGGCCATCTGATGTGATACCCCTTCTCCTTGACGTGGTGGAGTATGTTCTTCAGCGTGTCGTTATATTCAGCAAAGGCTCCCGCCCCCCTGGGCGTCGGGCGCCCCATATCGATTCTCCTTGGTGGGGGATGGCTCATGGGTGTATACCCTGAATCGCTCGGGGGGTGCGACCTCCTTGTCATCTCAACTTCTTCCCCTCTTGTCTTCCGCCTGTCTGCCCTCCTGGCCGCCAATGTTTCTTCGAGCATGATCACCTTTTGTACTCTGTGATCCAAATCCTCCATGGACACCACGTCTCTTTTTGCAAGCGATCTACACAGCTCCTCGCTGGTGGTGCATTCATTCAGGCATACTCCCAACACTGATGGCTGAGCGCCTTTCACTGCCAGGGCCACGGACAGCCACCTCTCATAAAATTCTCTCAGTGCCTCTCCATCTCTTTGTTTGACTTTGAACAGGGCGCCTATGGTCAGGGAGCGACGCTTCCTGCTGGCGAAATTTGCCAGAAACATCGCCGCAAACTGTTCAAATCAATCAATGTGCCCCTCTTCGATCTGGTGGTACCAATCGAGGACCACGCCCGTGAAAGTTGATGGAAACACCTTGCACAGGGTGGCATCTGTGCTGTTGTAGAGCTGCATCTTGGTGAAGTACCCATTAAGGTGGTCCTTGGGGTCCGCAGTCCCGTCGTAGGTGGGGAGCGGGGGAATGTTGGTCCCTGCAGGCTCCATTAGTATGTTACGTGCCAGGGGCTGCCTCACGGGGCAGTAGCGTGACAGGCGCCCCAGAATTCCTCCGTTCCACCCACTAGCATCTGGCCCTCAGTGATCACGCGGGCGCCACAAGCTTGGGCGTCTCAGACATCCCGACTCACTTTCCGTCTCCGCCACTCTTTCCCTCTTCTTCGTCGGGCTGGGCGTCATCCCTTCGCCCCTTTTTAAGGCGTCAACCTCTCGCCGTAGCGCCTCAATCGCCTTGTCCCGATCCTCGATGATCCTAAACAACTCCTTTTTCGTGACCGCGGCGCCTTCCGACCCCCGAAACATGCCATCACTTTCCACGCCTTCATCCATCTCGGGCGTCTGCCCTCTCATCCGCCTCGATTGTTCCTCAGTAATTTCCTCTCTTTCTTCATTCATCAGCGCCTCCTCACTCATGATTCTTGGTTATATTCCCCTACCTGGCGCGCCAATTGTTTGGGTCACGAGGCCCTGCTGGAACTCTCGCAAATCCCCTTTCGATCGGCGCCTGCCTGCACACACGACCACTGAGGGGGCGCCTGGGGCCGTTAATCCTCTGACGCTCAAGTTAGTTTCTTAGAGAGGGAAATGTCCCAAAGCAAGAGTTTTAGTGAGAGGATCCAACCTGTGTAAATGTTATCAACTGCCCTTATTTATACTCATCAAGTCGAGGCTGATCTCCTCCACGTCACTGCCTCATTTAATGCCGTGTACCTCCTTTGTCAGCCATCCCAACCACCTTGTCAGGTCTCTGCCGTGTGACAGGCGCCCGCAGGTGGTGGACCATCTGATAGTCTGATCTCCTTCGACCTCTGCCCTGTACTCTCTTTGTCAGCTATCCCAACTACCTTGTCAGGCTCCTGCCGCGTGCCCTTCTTGGCTATTAGCGTTTTGTCCTCATGCACCCCTCACCTTACTTGGGCCTGGAAGGGTTTCACAAATCTATTCTTGGGCCTTGCCCCCAATGCTATTGCTTGGAGGCCCAATCTGCTATTTGTTGGGCCCCAATTGTAGTACCCAACAATATTTGACGAAGAGCAATTGGTTGTGGTTGGTACCAACGTTGCACTTCAAAGGTAAATTTCATTGACCCTTTTCCTCCTCTATTTCTTGTTATGCTTGAGGTTGAGGCTCAATAAGTATTTCCGACATATATTTATGAGCTGAAAAGTTGCTTTTCGTTTTCATCCAGCAAATTGTACTGTATTGTCCACTTGTATGGAATTTCACCGATGTCAACACGTAGCAGTTTGTTCTTTTCCTATTGTAAAAGGGAAGAAACTGAGTATAAAAAACAAAAATTCTGCCTTTCATTCTCTTACAGCCTGTTTACCGCATAAAAAATTCAGTAATTGGAATTCCATTTTCAATTCTATTTCATTATTCTATGTTTGGAATGGTAAAAAGGTTGGAAAATAAATTCTATTTGACCCAATATTGAAAATTAGAATTCCTATCAAAAGTTATAGGAATTGGATTTATGGAGATGGAATTAGTGGGACTCATTCATATTTATTATTATTTTATAACTTCACTATCTTATTCCTATCTTTCTCCCTCATTAGTATTTCATTTCGACCAGACACAACTCCGACTTAAAACGAGTGAGAAATCATCCGTTAAAGATTAAGGGAAAAAAATTAAAGTTTTTTCGAGTAGAGAGAAGGAGGCGCTGATGTGGCGGATTCTTATTGACTTATGCATGAGGTTATTGCACTACAAGATTACTCACTGTATCTGCTCCGATTGGATGGTACAAGGAAAGGAAGCACTCTTTTTCATCCAAACAGGTGAAAGTTGCTGCTGCTGCATATGCATATTGTAAGTGTATGTTGTTCCAATTATAATAAACGACAATGTCTTATCAGTTTCTGATGAAGTTATGATTTATGTTCAATCCAGCAGTAAATTGGGGCAGAAGGCATTGACCAACACAAATATATCAAAGCTTTATTAGACCGTGATCACCTCCCTCAATTAAGAAAAAAGGAAAAACAAACCCTCACCAACTCACAACAATGAAGGACTGCATTTATTAATCCCACTAATCAAATGCAACTTCTTCAAAGCCTTGAGGAGCAAACGGTAAGCGGTGAGCTGTGGGAAATGCCCCTGAGCCTTGAGGAACTTCAGCTTTGTAGGCCCACCAAGGTTCTTCTTCATGTAATGCCCCACAAACTCTGGGACAAATAAGTCTTCTTTAGATTGGATCAGAGAGCATGGCACTGTTACTTTAGGTAAAACCCTTCTCAGGTCCCCTAGAAACACAGCCTTGGCAACATCCACAGCTACCTTAGGGTTCATCCTTCCTAAGCTCTGCTCAAACTCTGCTATGGCTTCCTTGTCATTCACGGTAACTGCTGCCGGTGCGAAGTTGTGAACCCAGTTCGAGTAGTTCTTCTCCATGGTGTTGAAGAGGGTGTTGAGCTGTGACCTCTCAGACCCTCCATAGTAACCACTATCATTAAGATACCTGTAAACCGAACCCAAAAGATGACAAAATCAGTTTCCTTGTACAACAAGATTGTTCAACTCTTTCCTTTCTTTGATTCACCTTGGAGAGCCACTGAGCAAGATGAGGTGTTGGAAAAGGTCCGGTCTTTGTGTTGCAGCAATGGAGCCAATCATGGCTGACATGGAGTGACCAAGGTAGACAGTGTTCTTGAGTTGAAGCTCGTCAAGAAGGTTGACCAGGTCCTGTGAATAGCCATGGAGTGTTGAGTACTTGCTTGGTTTGTAGAAATCGGGGCTGACATTTGGTGAGAAAGCCAAGTCAAAAGTCAGGACCTTGAAGCAACAAACAAGGTAAGGAAGGAGGAGGTGCCAAACATTTTGGTCCAAACCATAGCCATAGGAAAGGACCAAGGTTTGAGTTCCATTTCCATATAAGTTGGCATTTAGTGCTGCAGCAAGGCCACCATTGGGGACGTAGTTTATAAACTCCATTGACGTTTCAGATGAAGAAGACAGGCAGAGGAAGGGAGGAAGAGATGGAGTATTAAAATCTCTGTTTGTGGCTTCAGTGGCTTGGTTTGGGATAGAATATATATAGCTCTCTTGGGTTTCATGATGGAGGGATGTTAGAAAGGTACAATTCTATTATAGAAACAATTTCTTGAAGAGTTCAACAAAAAAGTTTTGATGTCAAAACCTAATGATTAAGACATCAGAAGGACTGGAGATTCTGTGATTGAAAATGGGGGTTGAAGAATTTTGATTGGTTTGTCTTATTTAATGTAGGGTTTTGGCCTGCAAATTGCAGTGAACCCAGCACAAAGACTGTTTCTTTGATAACTATTGATAAAAAAAAGGAGGTGATATCAGCTATGATATTAACCTAGCAACTTAAAAATCTTTGCTTTCTGGCACTTTCTTCTTGGACCCTTGAGTTTGGAGCCATATGACTTTGACTTTGGGAGCAGCCAATCCATGCGTCAGAATTTCAAGCAGTGAACAATCACTCTATCAAATGATTAAGTTAACCACAAAAGTCTTTGGTGGTAATTGGAGATTTGTTTAGAAACCTAAGACCTGGCTTGAAAGACTAATAATAATGCTTATGTACGCAAGCAAAGAGGGTATTGCTATTGCATGCCACAGTAGGCAGGGAGTGAATGGTTGCTAAAGAATTATGAGGAAGTCCCAACTGTTGTGGACAATGACCTCTTCCTCTTTCCTGAAAGTGAAAAGTTTTGAATTGGAAAAATCGCAGTCATAGCCAATACTAATGCACTGGATTTTTTCCAGAACTCCGAAGTTGAGCTCGAGTGTTCTAAAACGAATGACCTGTTGAGAAATCCTGGTATTGCTGCCCAAAAAGAAAAACAAGAGCTCATTCATAGCCTAAGAGATATCCAAAACGGCAGAGAGATTCCTTTCAGTCTGAACATACAGTGGGAGGATTCCTGTGGGCTATTTGGATGATGGATTTTGCTTATCCATCTTTCCCATTTACTTCAGAGTTGTGAAGAGACCAGCTTTTCAGCCACTTATTCCAGTAGTCGTAATGTTATTGTTGTGTCAGCCTTGTGCTGCAGTTAGTCAAAGCGCAGCAGAAAATTTAATGGTTTTTTTGTTGGTCTCAGTATGTTGAGAGATGTCAATCTGTTTTGAAGCAAATGTGTGATGGAGTTAGAATGTGTGCTGGACTGTTCAAGGGCCTAGGGACTGTGTTTTTCTTTTCCCACTAAAATCTTACCCAGTAGGAAGGAACTCGTGTGGGGTTGAGGGGAATAAGTGCAAGTCCAACAAATTTGGTGGGCAATGAATTGGTATTGGTAGTTTGGTACTCAGTCAGTCGCATTGGCTTTTGGTATGGACGAATGATGAAGGATAGTAATGATTATGCTGAGGTGCTGTCAGTTGGGGAAAAAAGGGGATTCTGTCTTTTTGAAATAATGGCTACTGCCCACTGCCTTGATGAAATCAAAGACTACACTGCTCATTCATACGGAGACCAGATGGCTCCCAAGAACCCTAACCCCTCCCTCTCCATATGTAGTACCGCTATTCAATTAACATATTCAACAAAGAGGGCCAAAATTAACCAATATACGGCAAATTACCTGTTTAACCACATATATCTGACCAACAAAAACTCTCGAAATATTTGTATACCAAATTGGATCTACCTTATGGCCAATATGGTGCAAGAAGATTATCCATGAACTTCTGTACATCTCAGCTGCAGCATCATCTTATGGAGAATGGAGTAAAGACTTGTAACATTTATTTCCAAACAACCACCCAACAACCCTTGCCTCCCACCAAGTATCTGCAAAAAGTCTAATCCACAGGCACCATAGCTAAGATTTTAGAGGTTTGCATCACAAGTCACATCAAACTACCAGTTGTTGAAGAACTTATATCATAGTCCACTAAGATATATATGGTAACAAATTCCATAGTAGTTCCTCGACATGAGAGATAGGTCAAGGTCCGCGTAGGGCTCTTCCCAAACGCTGGCATCACTTCCTTAAACATGAACATTTTTTTTTGTGTTGTTTTGCTTTTCAATAGTTCTGGAGCTCTACAAAAAAAAAAAAAAAAAAAAAAGTTCTGCAGCAGATTTGGTTAAGTACAGATATATAGGATAGACCATTTCCAGATTGCGGCCAATCGAATCATAATGTTTTCTCAACTCTAATACGAAATTAAGTGACCAAGGATGATATCGAATACATATTTCAGCCCAATCCTTGTTGGTGTATCCTGATCAGTTACATAGGAGATTCCACAGTTCCTTCAGCTACAACCAGTGGTTTTCTGCTTCTATAAAACTATATCACACAGGGTGGGATTGACATGATTATTATGATACAGATCTCATCACATTATTCTCACCATTGCCCGGACTACCACCCCCGTTCCCATTTCCAGGGAACAACATTTTCACAGACCTCTTTCTCACACAAGTCTGTACAAACAAAAATCGGCCTGCAACAACTTTCCATAATTCCCTGCCTGGATTTGGTGCATACTTATTTTGTCTGCGTCACAAATCATGATGGTGATGCTTTGCAGCTAATTGAGAGCATAATGAACCCGTTCCAAGATCTGAACCACCTGACTAACCGAGATTGGAGTAGTTGAGGCTGCTTTCAAGCTGCCTACTTTATTATTCGATGATGATGCAACCGGCATTGATATTATTGCTTCCTGTTGGGCATGTGTCAACTCCAGGAACTGACCCAGCATATCACCATCTAGTATCTTCGCTACTCTGACCTGTAAAATCCGGAAGAGATTGTGAGAAGGGCATAGAGAGCCATTTGATGAAAGAAGATGAAACTGGGTTTATAAACATATTCTTACAGGGTTCTCACGGCTGCGGAACTCGTGGTGATCATTCCCAAGAGGAGGAGCAGTTAAAGGATGGACTGCAATTCTAGCTTGAACTGCTTCTAGGAGTTCATGGTCCTCCCTGTCACAAAGTAATCGAAAGGAAATTTAAGTAATGGTCGTCAAATCTCATCTTCTTCAATTCATTAACAAATTGCATCCTAAATTATTAATTAATTATACCTTGACAATGGGAAAAGGACTATTATGCTTCCTAGCAAAGTGCTAGCCACTATAGTGTTGCTCGATGCATCAACATTAGTAAGAATGCCATCACATCCAGTCAGCAAGTCATCTTCAGGGAGTTTATATGAAAAAGAACCCTGAAACAAAACAGAATTTCATCAAAGAACAACGTCAGATATTAAGAATAAATAAAAATCTCCGACCCTCGCTCTTACCGAGCAAGCCAATAAAGGATAAGTTAAAACAGAAATAGTGCGCCTGTGGAGTGATGGTTGTGAACTGAACAGCTATCACTTTTCAGGAATCCTATTATCATTAAGATATCACGATTGCTGAGAAACGCCAAAGAGTAGAAACTCTGCCAACTAGGATAAATCACATCCTCTATCCTCAATACTAAAGAATATTCAAGAGTTCCAGTTCATGATAAAAGGAATGCAACTCACTGGTAAGAGAAAATGCAAGACTCACCTTCTTCAAGCTCATGGCTACCTCACCAGTGTAATAAACACAGCTCAATTTCAAGTTGCTCTCTGGACTCGCATTGCCTGGCAAAGATGATCAGACATCACAGACACACATCCAGTTTAGTCCAACTATTGACACAGCAATGGTTATCTAATTCGAAGGCGGCGTCATCATTATTACTGATGAGAAATGAACCTATTTGCAACACAACTATATACAAATAGGACAGCATTACACACAGCGGACTAGATTTGTGATGACATTTCAAGATCGAAGAAAAAAGGAGCAGGGAAATAGAAGCTGGAGTATATGTGTATGTAGCTCTATGAAATTTTGCAGCGAAAGACAGATAATTTTTGGTATAACCATTTGGATCGTATAATAATTGCTCGGTCATATCCACGTAAATCACAAGACAATTGCACAAAAAGACCTGCAAGAGAAAAACTATTCCTCAAGCAAGCCTAGCTCCTAGAGACAATACTGCCAGAGAACAGGCATGTCTGAGAAGCAACATATGTTCCTCCAAAACAGAAGAATACTAGACTTACATTCCAAACGATCTGAACATGATAGAATAGCAAGGCTTCCCTTCCGATCAGAAACCACAGCAGTGTCCAGATCCATAAGGACACAGTCGGCAACTAATCTCTGACAAGGATCACAATAAAGTTGCTCCAGTTTTCTTGCATCCTAAGACCACAGCAATGGTTTATACTCCAAAAAGCTACACCAGCTGGGAAGTGTTGCTAGGACAGAAGGAAATTTGCTTACCTCATGATAAGAGTAAAAGAGAACCCCGTCGCGGCAATCACCAACGGCAATCCTAGTGTAATGTGCAGTCAATGACATTATCATAAAGCGTGTGCGCCCAACAGCAATCCGTTTCACTCTTTGTGGGTTATCATTCAGAAATCCACATACATAAAACTGAGGAAAGGAAATAAAAACTTCATAAGAAAAGGTAGCGTTGCCTAGTGTTGAAGCAGAGACAGGGAATCTTGTGACTTACAGCACTACCAGAAGATGCCAGGAAGTAACGGTCTAAGTAAGGACACATTGCAAGCACCATTCCTGGCCATACTGTCGAATAAGCCAATCGGAACTGCCAAGTTTCAGTTTCCTCAAGTTTAACTCCATCACAGCTGGTATCATCAGGGCTGCTGCCAAGACTACTGCTTGATAGTTGATCCATAGAACATCCAGCGACCTCGCGAAATGGAGATGTTCTTTGAGAAGATGATCCTGCCCTTGATCCTAATGTCATCGAACCAGTATCTGAATTTTGCAAGTGTTCCAGGCAGAGGACAAGCAGACGCCCTTTGGTACTGTTGATGAAAATTATTGACATCAGTCGAACTACTACCAATGATTCTTTTAAAGCTAGATCTCACCAGAAGCATTATTGTTTGGAATGAACAAACTAAAATTAGAAGCCAAAAATGACAGAGCAAGAGATAGGCAGTTTACCTTTCGGCTTCACCACTGGGCATGATAGCTGGGCCAGAGGAAAGGCTGGTTCCA